TATAAATCTTCTGATTAATGCATCAAAATTTAAAGGGAAACATAGTAATGGTTTTATTAAATTCATTTCTATTTAAGAAATTTATACAGACAAAATTTATTTCTTAGTTATTCAAAAGTATCATTTTTTTCCCAACCCTGGATTAGGCTACATTTTTTAAAGGGAAAACAACGATAGATATAAACTGCAAAAGCTATTGATGGAACTGTGTTGTGCCCAACAACTCAATCAATAATTTAGCATGAGACTATTGTGTAAGTCAGACAAGTCTAACACATGTGTCTGTCTTGATTTTTAGTGTCTAAAGTAACTGAATTATTATCTTTGCTTTCCTGCCATTCATTTTAATTTAAAGAAACAAATAATGTGACAAAAGTGTTTTCACATACTAATTTGTACACCACCTTGGGCAGACTGTATGTTGGATTAGGAGCAATTGGTGACAATCTGATTTTGTGTTTTATCAGGAGCTACAACCATAGAGAAATATGACCTTAGAACAAATTTGTGGATCCAGGCAGGGATGATGAACGGCAGGAGACTGCAGTTTGGCGTGGCTGTTATTGATGACAAACTCTTTGTAATTGGAGGTCGAGATGGCTTAAAGACTTTGAACACTGTTGAATGTTACAATCCGAAAACAAAGACTTGGACAGTCTTACCCCCAATGTCAACACATAGACATGGTCTAGGTAAGATCTCTTGCTTGATTGATGTTGTTTTGGTAGCATTTTATTGATAAAGCATTTATTGAAATATATGTTTAAAGTATGACATTATTTTCATCAGTTCTCATTTATTTTAGATAACATGTGGAATATTTGAAGCATTTTTAGAAAGTTCTTGGCATAGTCATGTGTTGACTAATATGTATTAAACTAATAAGAGTGATAATGAATATCCCAAAATGAGTCTGACTCAGTTTAATTGTTAAAATCTAGTATTCATATGAAAATACAAATTAACATAATATGTTTTCATATTAATTTATTTCTGTTAATGTTCACATGTATTTATATATAATCATGGAGAAGCCAGACCAGTAGTAGTAATAAATATGGAATGAAGAACACTCAATTCTGTATTATTGGAGAAGCAACCCTAACTAAAGCATTGCATTTAGTTAATTCCACTTTGAAAAATCCAGGAGAAAACATGACACATCAGCTGACATTGTAAATCCATATTATATGATTTTAATTGATCCCCCTCCTACAAAGTAACTGTAGAAGTAGAAGAAAAGAATTTAGATTCAAAATATCTGGATGTGAGTTTTTAATGCATTGCTTTCTATGTTGTTTAGATTATTGTAACCTGACTCACAACAGATTTTAGAAATTCAAATAGTGATAATGTATAGAAAATCACTTTGCTAATCTCAAAGAGTGATATACATATTTTAAAAAGAAAGATTTAATAAGGGATTACAATTAATCTCTTATTACTAAACATGAAATAAAATGATAATTACTTTTGATGAACTACAATATAACACATATCAGATAAACTGCTTTATCATGTAATATACATATATATATGTAGAAGATATAATAATTTAATTGCTTGTGGCCATTGTAAGCCATCACATTTAGATAGAAAAAAATATATAGACCATTTCAAAAACAAATAATGATAATTCCTTTGAAGTCATTAGCATTTTTAACCTCATTCATTTATGTTCTACCATGAAAATAAGCAAAGAAAGAAAACTAACTAAATAAAAATAAGTCTGAAATAAAGAAAACGACCTTTTTGGTCTTTGTGAGGCTGGCTTACCCTTTCTTGTTTCCTTATTGGTAATATAGCACCTTACATATTCATAAATTGTCCTGCTGAGATTGAAGTTCATGGCCTGGTGTCAAGAGTCTTGATAATTTCAGTGCTCTGAATGATGATTTTTGAATAATCTCTTGTCTATTTGCTCACTTTAATTTGAGAACAAAATTTCAGTTAGTTTTAATTTTGAGGTTCTTGACAAGAATAAGTCAACAGAAAACGATTTCAAATGATCTTATAACATAGTCTTTTATTTTTTGAATTACACTCATTTTTCTTCTTTCAAGTGTACATTTTTCCTAATAAAAATTGTATGTTTTTTTCTTACAATTTCTCACATAATCATATGTGAGAAAGAAGTCTTTCTAAGCCGTCATGTTGTTGCTGTTGTTGTTATGTGCCATCGAGTCGGTACCTGCTCATGCACAACAGAACGAAACACTGCCCGATCCTGGGCCATCATCACAAGTGTTGCCATGCTTGAGCCCATTGATGCTGCCACTTTGCCAATCCATTCCCAGTTGCATTTTGAGTGCCTTCCAACCTGAAGGTCATTTTCCAGCACTATATCTGACAGTGTTTCTCTGCTATTCATAAGGTTTTCAGTGACTAAATATTCAGAAGTAGTTAGTCACTCCTTCCTATTCTGTCTTCATCCGGAAGCTCATCTGAAACCTGTCCACCATGGGTGACCCTGATAGTATTTAAAATACTGGTGGCATAACTTTCAGAATCACAGCAACTCACAAGCCACTGTAGTACGACAAACTGACAGACAAGTAGTGGATGTCATAGAAATCCTGATATGTCATTATAGGATAAACAAAGGACGGCTAACTACAAGGTCAGTGGTTCAAACCCACTAATCACTCTTCAGAAACTCTATAAAGAGTGGCTATGAGTCAGAACTGATTCAATGTCACTTATAATAGCAACAAGACTTCATAAGTAAGGAACTGATATAACATTAAAATGTGATGTCTTGTCGAAACAGGTTAATTTAAAATTTTGTATAATGTATTTCTTTACAAAAAAAATTCACAATGTTTACTTAGCCTGGTTATTATTATTATTCAAATCAATAAAAGTTTTAGTTTAATATCTGAACCAAAAAAAACCAAAAAAAAAAAAAAATTCAGGAAAGAAAGGGGAGATTACAATTGGATATAAAGATCTGACCCTGCAAAGTGACTTTACTCAAATTGTTTTTTTGTTATCTCTAACTTATAACTGGAGTCCTGGTGTGGCAAGGTGGGTTAATGCTCTAGACTGCAAAGCCTTTTGAACTGCAAGGTTGGCGGTTCAAGCTCACCAGCTGCTCCTTGGAAACCCTATACAAGGTCACTATGGGTCGGAATGAACTTTACGTCACTTGACAACAACAACCTATAACTAACTCTCAAGAGCATGTTTACTTACCTTGATTTGCACATTACTGCCCCCAGAGCTTTTTGTCCTTTGTGCTGCCCTAGCCTTAAAGCTGAACACTAACAAGGAAAGAAATCTTCTGGGCCAGCAAGTCTGTTGACTTCTGCACCCCGATGACATCCTCATGTCATCCACCAAATTTGGCAAGCTCTGCACTAGTGCAGCTGTTGCAATGTCTAACTCTTCATGTGGAAGATGCAGTAACTCTTTGTAACAGAACATATGAAGTAGTTTTCCTCTGAGATATTCTTTGAAGGCTAAGTACTATCTTATTTGCACAATCAAGAAATCACAACTATTTTCTGTTTCTCTGGTTTAATTTAGGTTTTGATGTTAGTGTTCAATTCTTTACATTGCCTCTCTTTTCAGTGTAATTGCCATCACTGTTGTTGTTGTTAAGTGCCATCAACTTAGTTTTAACTCAGAGTGACCCTGTGTAGGTTTTCCCAGGAGTAGCTGGTGAGATCTGAATAGCCGACCTTGTGGTTCAAATTGACCTTCTGGTCCAGTGCCTTATTCTGTAGCACCACATCAGGATCCATCAATAATCTGTGATAATTTGTCTTGTTTATTCAGAAACTAGAAATTCCTCTTTGGTTTGTTTCACAGTTAAGCAGTACCTACTCTGTAATATAAAGGTGTGTTACAAAATGAATATGTAACCCTACACTATGTATAAGGAGCTCTGGTAGCGTAGTGGTTACGAATCGGGCTGCAAACCACAAGGTCAGCAGTTCGAAACTACCAGCTACTCCGCGGGAGAAAGATGAGGCTTTCTGCTCCCATAAATTTTTACAGCTCGACCCTGTTCAGGGTCGCTATGGGTCGGAACTGACTCGATGGCACTTAACAACAACAACAACACTATGCCTGGAGTCCTGGTGTGGCACTGTAGGATAAACACAGGACAACAAGGTCAGTTTGAACTGCAAAGGTGGTGGTTCGAATCCATCAGCTGCTTCTTGAAAACCCTATATAGGGTCACTATTAGTCAGAACCAACTAGATATCACTAATCAACAACAATGACATACTATAAATAGTTGAAGGGTCCCTGGTTAAATGCTCTTGTGATAAAGTAAAATGTAGTGATGGAACCCACCTGCCTATCTGCTTCCATAAAGATTAAACTATAGGGCATTTCTGCTTTGTCAGTTGGTGTAGCTATGAAGGAGACATTATATAGTTGAGAAACGATGAGTTATAATCTAATGTAAAATCTGAAAATTACTAAAAAATATTTTCTTTGACTTATATAGCCTTACATTGAGCCCTGGTGGGATAGTGGCTAAGTGCTTGTCTGTTTGTACTTTAGTATGAACCAACTAGCTGTTCCAGGGAGTAAAAGTGGCAATTGGCTTGTTTAAAGATTGCAGTCTTAGAAACCCTTAGGATCAGTTCTACTGTGTCCTTTTTGTTGTTAAGTGCCATCAAGTCAATTCTGACTCATAGCAACCCTATATAAGGGTTCCAAAGAGCAGCTGGTGGATTTCAACCGCTAACCTTGTGTTTAGGAGTCCAGTACTGGTCCCACAGGGCCACCCACACCAGGACTCCCGCTGTATCCTAGAAGTTAGAATCAATTTGATGGCAACAAGTTGGGTTTGGGTTCTATAGCTTATCTTTCCTTAATTTTTTGTGGAAAAAAAGCTCTTATGTAATTTTACAAATTTATTTATTGCTTATAAAAACAGTTATGTGGTCAAAATATTTCACAGTTGACAAATGAAGACAGCTCTTTGTCTTGTGCATAATATGAGGAGGCTTCAAAAAATTCTTGAAAAAAAAAAGTAATTAAAAGATAATAGAAGTTTTCCATAAACTTTTTGAAGCATCCTCAAATGTACAAGTGGAATTGGTGGTGATTGTGTGCCACTGAGTTGGTTCTGACTCAAAGTGCCTCTGTATAGGGTTTCTAAGGCTGTGAATCTTAATGGAAGCAGAAAAGCTCACCTTTCTCCCGCAGAACAGATTTGAACAAATGACCTTATAGTTGGCAGTTTAGCTGATAATTCACTACCCTACCAGGGTTCCTTAATGTACTGGTGTTGTTAAGTGCAATCAAGTCGCTTCAGACTCTTAGTAAACCTGTATAGGGTTTCCAAAGGGCAGCAGGTAAGTTGAAACTTCTGACCTTACAATTTAAATTGACCTTTTGGTCTAGTGCTTATCCTACAGCGCCACACTAGGATTCTATTGTATCAGTAGTCTCCAACCAATGACGGGTTTCTGCTCTGATGACTCCATCATTAGTCAATCTTGACAAAGTCAAATACTTCATTTTTTTCTTTAGCTGTCATCATTACTGCCTTTTATTATTAGTATCATTATAAATCTGATCCTTGTTAGTCTTTGAGGATTGAAAACCTTGCATATGTGCATAAACTTAGAGATATAGGTCAATATGCATAAAAATTCACAAATCATAAAAATTTAATTCAATAATGAAAAAGAATTGAACACTGATGGCATTTTGTCAGATCAGGTAA